AACCAAGTCTTATTTACGGGGATGAAAGGATTTCAGCGGAAGCCCGTGGGAAAGCAGGTGACAACGCACACGAAGAGTGGCGAGGCACAATACCAGTTTTTTGCATATTTCGATTTTCCGAATTCATTCACTAGATAAAAACGACCGAAAAACATTTAAAAGGAAACCAAAGGAAATATCAGCGGAATATTCCTCTTATTGGTGCACAAGCTGTATGGACATTGGTAGAACATCGCACGACGAGCTTTATTGCTTGCAATATATTCTTGAAGAGTCGTGCGATCATATACGTGTCCGCAATGCTGGAATATTTTTAAGATATCAACCATTCTCAGTACAGCTTCAAATAAACTAACCTTGCTTTTGACAGGATCTTTAATTTGTCCGCCACCTAGAGGATCTCGTAGCTTTCGTACTACCTCAACTACTCTCATTTCTTCTTCACCTTCTCCAGCATTCGAAGAAGATGCTTCAGCTTCGTCTGATTCTGCAATAAAAGTCAAAAGTCGCAATTTCAACGATAGGGGAAGCAGAAAGGGTGGATAAACATATGAGAAGAAGATCGAGATGAAGAAGTATTATACTGGTTAAACGGAAAATCAATGACACTCTAAACGAAAATGTAAACCACAACTCTTTGTAAACCCACTGTTAGCACACTCCTCCCACTCCCTCAAGTCACTTTACAATAATCTAAAAGTGTTTGAAAAAAGGTAATGATCTTTTCTAGAAAGGCCCCTTTGTCTGTATGGCAGAGCTCTTTGGTCTATCATATATTACACAACTATAAGCCCACCTAATGGTTCAGGACGGCGAGCACGAAGTCTGGCAATAACATCCACATTGGATCCAGTGGCATCCGAACCGGCACATCTGAATATATCGTCACTCATTACTTGCTCTATCAGTAGGCAGTCAAATCCAGGGCTACTGTGGTCCAGAATCACTACTTTTGAAACTATTTTCACATTGTGGAAATCCCACGAGATACGATGTACCTTAGTTCCAGGGGTGAAGAGGTTTCAGCGGAAGGCCCTAAGGACCCATGCGACAACGCACGCGAAAAGTAGCTAGGCACAATGCCAGCTTTTTAAATATTTCGATTTTCCGAATTCATTCACTAGATAAAAGCGACCGAAAAACAGGTAAAGTGAAGCAAGAAAAAACATCAGCGGTGTTTGGGACGACGGTGCACATTGGCATAGGTGCGTCTTTTACCCAGAAAAAGGGTAATTAAAGCGCAGGTGTTGGTCGCTTTCCCACTGGAAAACATGCAAGTACGCGTACAGCTAGCTATGGCTGTGTTGGTAGAGTTCCTAAACGGAGCGAGATTTGGCGCTTTATCTCCAGATCACGAACGCCGAAGCCGCACCACTGTCTTTGCTCAATATTCACCCCCGAACATCTGACATGAGAGCCGCAAGCGGGACAACTCCTTGTTCTCACAGTACACGAAATGCCAGCGTTCTGTACGCCACTGGTTCAGCAAAGCAATAGGACTACGGATGTCAGACAACGGAATAGCCTCTCTCCTCTCAATCAGGCTGTTCAGTACTTGAGAGAACAGGCGATAGGAAACCGTAGAAAAAGCAACAATAAGGCAGTTAGCAAAGAAAACGAGGCGCAGCTTGACCAGGTGGGGGCACAAAGTGGTACTCAGCGAAACTACGACAAGCACTATTGTGAAGATCAGCACATTCCTGTAAATGAAATGGCTCTTTTGCAGCACTTCGCAGCTTCACTAAATTACCAGGTCTCCAAACTGAGAGTTGTCAGTCACTGTACTAGAAAAAGGAACTGGCAAAAGTGCAAAACGCTCCCTCCCACCTCCCCTAGGCCGAACGCGAAAACCACAACTACAACAGAATAGAGCATTTCTCTTTGGTAGAAGGCCCATTGTATGATGATCTTGCGAATATCCCATATTAGATGATCCAGGAAGACGATTGTCAACCAGAGCCTGTTTTCCTTTATGAATACTATCACATTTCAGAGAGAAAACTAAAAAGTGAAGGTGTGGAACTGACCCCTCTTCATAATGCTTCGTAAGTTTGTCCAGGTTAAGAGCCAATCGAGCTGGCGTATTTTCAGCGAATTCATGCAGTACCTCACGATCTTTGCCGAGCTAAAAACGATGTGCTCACAAACAGTTACGATGAGGAAACCATTAGAAAAGTAGACATGAAATAAAGGGCTGGGCGCTAGCGTAGTTAGAGGGGACCACTCGCCAGCGTTTCCTGATCCCTTCCTCCAATCAAGGCCTAGGCTTAGTGGAGATTAAGGCCGACTCTGCAGGACTATCCCTCGGCCACTCTGATGTTAATCCTAAGGGCTCAGTCAGGGAAGCGGACATAGAGGCGCGACCGAGTGTTCGCGTCTCCCTCCTCCAATTTTACCCACCAAAAACGAAAAAAATCATGGCAAACCCTACCTGAACGTCTAGTTTCTGAGCTTCTTCGATGGCTTTCGTATAGGACTCTTCAGTCTGTTCGTAGACTGGTGTGGTTTCCAACATCTGCAATACATCTCGTAGACCATTTTTGAGAGCATCCAAGTCTTTTGGGCGAATCATTTCCTGAAACATGACTTGGAAATAACAAATCGAAAATGAAACTTGCCACACCTGAAGTCACAAGTAAAGGTTGACGTTGCAAACATCAGAACCCGATCTACGAAATATATGCAAACTCTTGCACAAACAAGGACGTTTTCAGTTTAAAACTCCCTCCCTTAGTTTGTGCGGCGTAAGTAAGGGGGATAGAAGTACGTAGCCGCACACACTTCCACATAACATCTCTTACGACAAAGTTTTGTTACCGTACACACATGCTTAGTGCATCGGTCGTATTGGTAACTGGATGGTGGTGACAACGGGACTACTTGCTTGTCCAGGATTCAGGAGAATGACGGGGGATCAACACACACTAGTAATACACTTTTTACGGCAAGAAGATTGCTTGGGTTCCAGTCTTACACAGGGATTTACTGGTGTATACTGGCCCGCTGTGTTACTTTACGTAATCTTCAACAGAGTAGTTCATGAGTGGGTTTGGTCTGAAAATTCCACCCAGGGGTGATGTGCACCTTGAACCTATCGAAAAATAGGGTTTTTTGGCCGGTCATTGTGGAACTGTTTTCCATTTTTCGCATAGGAAAACTTCGCCAATGTGGTTGGGAGAAGAGAGAGTGAGAGTGGGGAACATTTGGCTGCACCACTGCATCCTTTCCCCAAACGTACACCCAATATTCCAATACTGGAACGAGCCTAGCTTCAGATTTCATTTGATCAGGTCAGCGGAAGTTCTTAAATTTATGAAACTTCACTTTTTTCAAGAGTACTGAAGCTTCGGAGGTGGGGGGGGGTTGCTGTTCAACGGAGCTGTTCAGTTTTCTTTTTTCACGTGCCCTTAGGGGGGATCTAAACACATCATGATATCCTTCCTATGTGCTCATCAGCAAGGGAAAGGATGGGTAGCTAACGCCAGTGATTAGTCCCTTTGTGGGATGGGACACGCACTTTACTTCCATTCAGAATCGTAGTGGCTTATTGAATGCGATGTGGCCTATACAATGACTTGCAGGGGCCAGCCGATGTACAAGTCAAGTGTTTTATCCTCCCAGACAAATATCGAACGAATTCACCGTCTTTGGAGGGTGGAAGGGGCTGGCATGAGCGGGAAGGACCCGAGATTCGACCCTGGATGCGTGTGTTAAGCATGCCACTTGCCACCCTCCGCCGCTCTTCTACATATTTTCTTAGTAAAAATGTTTGCATAATATTGTGAAAGGATTTTTGAGTTTCTCACGTGTTTAACCTATGCCGAAGGATGAGAGGGTTTGGTGACGTGGACGAGATTCATTCTGGAACTTGATCCTCGTTCACTGATGCTGCAGTAGCGGCATATCTTTGCCCCATCT